GTATGTGCTTTCAATGATTGTATTCCTCTAGAAGTATCATCTTTTCCTCCTCTGACCATTATGTTTTCTTGTCTTCTCTTCTTCTGTCATTTTTTCGCTATCCAACGATAAGCCCACTTTGTGAGACGATAACAGGCATCACAAGCGTGAGTCCAAGCAAACAATTAAACACCATGGAAACTTTTACAGCTGTAAAATCTCTTTTAACGCAGTAAATGAGTTAATGTTTTTCCTTAACTAATGACACCTTTTAAGAGATTCTATACAACTGTGTAAGTCCCTCAGCTAAGGAGAATTTAAGCCTGAAGTGTCATATTTAAGGAGAAAACTTAAGCTGTTTTGTGGTCTGAGTTCATGACTATAAGACTTCTGGCTTGGTCCTTGGTTAACATTGCCAACTGAAGCTCCACGCTGACTGTTGATCGTTCCTTGTTGGCTCCAAAAACTATTACTTCAGTTTTGTCTTTGTTTAATTGAAGAAAATCTTAACACATCATTGATTTGTTCAATGCACTCATTCAGAGCTTTGAAAGTTTTTAACTTGGGCTGTCAGCAGTAACGCATTACCTGCGATGCAGATAAGGTCTGATCATAATGGATTTATTTTTTTTAAATTGCATGCTTCTTTTTATCCCTTTAACGCACTGTGGTCAAGTCACCGCAGCTGCTTCCCACTTCCTACTTTCTGCTGCCGCAGTGACAGAAATAACAACACCACTGTGCTCTTGAAAGGCTCCTTTCACTTTAAAAAGTGTAAATGTATACTATGCTGTATCTGCTCGTGAATATTTAACAAGGTGGCCTGAGTCCTGTGGTGCAAAACAACTATTTAATGAACAGTTTAAAGAAAAAAGTCTTCATACGTCGACTGTCTTTCTTGAGTTTTAATAAGCATTCATGAATGGAGACACTCACACATACAACCGCATGAACAGTCAGTCAGTAAGAGTGCCTAGCAAGTCTTCTTGCCCTGCTATCTTTATAGTTCCCATAACACATGCACATCAACAGTCAAAATATGTGGCGCCTTGACATTCCTAAAACACAACATCTCTTGAGACTAACAAGGACACTTGTTGTCCTCCCTGGCTCATAATCTTGGTGTTTCTCACTGCTGTCACAGTAGGGGTTAAATGAGCACCACACAACATTAGGATACAACACATTATAGTTTAAAGGTGTTTAAATACCCGAACATTTTATTGGCTTGAGAACTGACCTTTGTGTCACAACTTTATTTGATGATTCTATTTATATTTTGGTAGGCCTAAAGTAAATAATTTAAACACTATCCTTGAACAGTCAGCCTGACCTGAACTCCAATGTCATCTACAGTTTCGTAATTTAAGAAATGATTGTCAGCTTTTTTTTTATTGTGACTTGTAACACATGTCGCTGCCTTTTTTTTTAAATGACTGATGAAAATCAAAGCCTTTGAATGCCTGTTTTCTTTGTAACTGACAAGAAAAACATTTTTTAATGCCTATTTATTTTTCAGTGGAACTTTTTCACTGCCAAAGTTTCCCTTCAATGCATAAACTTACTGTCACTGTTCTAACTCCATACATCATCCCTGTCTCAAACTATAGGATGAATTAAGGGTCATTGGGACATTAGGTCAAATGGTTCAGTATAACTACACTGGGTTTATTGTCTCATCTAAGCTTTTGTTTTTCTTCTGAGCAATAGCTGTGAACCCACATAATCAAAATTGCATGTCCTCAGTGGTGCGACATCATGTAGGTTGGTGGGACAGGAAATTGCAATGCATAAGGTGAGGAAAATGACACAAGCTTTAGCTAGTTTTCTGTCACATTCACCCAAAGCGTGTTTGGATGACAAACAGATGACGATGACGACGACGACGAACACTCTCAGAGAACTCCTAACTTAGCCAAAAAAATAAATAACTGTAAGGAGTCATAGCTTAGGAGTGAATTGCTTTTCAGAGCAACTCTGAGCAAAGAAGGGACAGAAACTTTTACCGCAGTGAGGAGGTGTGGTTGACCCTGTTGTTCGGTATGATGCATTCTTTTAACAGATGTGACCATTTAGAGATAGTAAGGGGTGCAAAGGTAGTGGCCCAGGCTAAACAGGGACAGTGGTTGAATTGGAAAAGTGTAGAGAAGAGGAAGCTTAGTTGGAGGGACCTGTGGAGTATGGAGGAGAATCGTATTAGATTCCTGGTAGGGGCTACATACGATGTGTTACCAACCCCCCAGAACCTAAAACTGTGGGTAAATGAGGACCCATCATGCCCATTGTGTTGAGGTACCACAACTTTAAAGCATATTTTGTCAGGCTGTAAAGTTAGCTTGTCACAAGGCCGATATACATGGCGACATAATCAGGTGTTGAAATGTTTAGCTGCAGGCATCGAAGGGAAACGAAGACAGGTGAATTCAGAAGGTGTTAAGGATAGGAGTTTAGTAATTCAGTTTGTCCGTGAGGGAGAGAAATACAGAAGGGATAAGTTAGTGAGGAGGCAAGGGTGTGGCCGCCTAGAAGGTGCTTGTGATTGGGAAATGCAAGTAGATTTAGAGGGAAAGCTTGTTGTTCCTCAGGAAATAGTCTGTACCAGGCAGAGGCCTGACTTAGTGTTGTGGTCAGTGAGTCAACAGATAGTTTATTTCATTGAGCTGACAGTTCCTTGGGAAGACTCAGTGGAAGAAGCCTATGAAAGAAAAAAGCTTAGATATGCAGACTTAGGAGCAGAAGCTGAGCAGCGAGGATGGAAGACTAGGATTTGTCCAGTGGAAGTGGGGTGTAGGGGATTCATAGCAAGATCAACTGTCTCTCTCCTGGGGGAACTCGGAGTGCGGGGACAGAATTTGAGGAAGACAGTGAGGGAAATGTCAGATGAAGCAATTAAATGCAGCCAGTTTATCTATTACAGAAGAAATAATGTCAGCTGGGGGCCAGCAGGGGGAACTACTAAGAAGGGCACATAACTCCTTGAGATCAGGTGGAGAGATCCACTTCCTGTCAGGAGAAATCCAGGAAGAGGAAGTATTTAAGTGTGGGAGTGGCCTATTGGAATCCATTTTGTTTGAGGCCATGCGGCAAGGTGAGTGTGCTTGCTGATCCTGTAAGTCCAGTTAGCTCCTTTAACTTTAGCTTATATTGTAGTTATGCTATGTAGTGTGTGAAATAGAGTATGGTGAATGTGACAGGAAAGTTAGTATCAGCATTGCTTCTGCCTGGAGCTCGCATGTATGGAGCCTAGGTTTGGTTGAAGATGGCAGTGCTGTTTGGGCTGAGAAAGCCATGTGTAAGTAAGAAGGAAATCCAGGAAGAGGAAGGTTATTTAAGTGTGGGAGTGGCCTATTTGAATCCATTTTGTTTGAGACCATGCTGCAAAGTGAGTGTGTTTGCTGATCCTGTGAGTTCATTTATCTCCTTTAACTTTAGCTTACATTGTAGTTATGCTATGTAGCGTGTGAAATAGAGTATGGTGAATGTGCTAGTAAAGGTAGTATCAGCATTGCTTCTGCCTGGAGCTCGCATAAACGTAGCCTGGGCTTGGTTGAAGGTGGCAGTGCTGTTTGGGCTGAGATCACTGTCCAGCCTCCTGGAGGTGTCTTTGTTGTGAGGGCTCGTCCTGGGGAGGTAGACTGTACAGCCTAACCCAGCGGGGGAGTGTGATAGCCTAACAAGGCTTCCTTCCCTGGGTCTACCTCCTCTGTGGTAGTATAGGTAAGGTAAAGGAGGTTGTTCGGTTAGTGTGGGGAGCAGTGAGACCTGGCATTAGGGGAGTGTCTCTGGGACGCCAGAGATCACTGTCTAGCCTCCTGGAGGTGTCGTGGGACTAACTAGACGAAACACCGGTGAAAGGAGGTTCCCATCTGATGACCCCAAAGACATGTTAGTTATCACTGCTCACGGGTCTGTATAGTTAAGCCTTGCCATAATAGCTTATCGTAGGGCTTAGGAGGATTATTCACTGAGTGCTGATCCCTTTTTATTTTATTTTATTTTTTTTTTTATTAGAGCACAAACGTCTTGTGTTTATTTGAATTATTTCTGGTGTTGTATTGTTATATTATATTGTGTGAGTACTCCTAATGAGATCAACCTCTTTGTGTTTCCACCAGTTTCTCCTTTGATTAAGAAACTCTTAAGCCTCATAAAAGTCCTCCTCCCTGCTCCTTACAGTTTTTCACCTTTGGAGCTCTTTAAAGCTTTGTGAACAACTTCTATCTTTATAAGGACCTAGTCTTAACTTTAAGGGAAAATTCTAAGAAAATGTCACAACTCTAAGAATTTCTTACATTTTCAGCACTCTTTGTACTAGGAAGCTTCATGAGTGGCCCCTGATTGTTTGAATTTATGGCAAAAAGCTTACAGAAGGAGGAAATTGTTTTAGTTAGGTCTTGAGTAGCAGCGTTTTGAATCAGCTGTAAAGACACAGCATGGACACATTTTTCCAGATCCTCCATGTTCTTAAGGTGATCATAGGCTGACTTTGTAATTGTCTTAATGTGGCTGTTATTACTGGTTGCACAAAACACCTTGAGTTAAGATTTTCCTTAAAGTCTGAGTTAAGGTTTCCTCAAGATAAAATCGAGTGCACAAAACACCCTTAAGTCTTCTCCCTAAGCTTTCCTTAAAGTGTTCACTTAAGTATAATGGTTTTCTCCTTGTCTTGGTCTTGTACTGAGGACATCTGGGGCCAGCCCACTGACCGTCCCAAGAGTTAGAACAAAACATGGCAAAGCAGCACCTCAAGGATGATGTTAGACAAGTTTGGGCTCTGACCACTTTTAGATCAAAGATAAAAAACTATATATTTTTTAGACTGCCTGTTCCACCCTTTAATTACTGCAACCTTATTTTTAAACTCAATTTTAAATCATCCCTTTATCTTTGCACCTCTTGTCCGCACGTTTGCTGTTTTTAATGGTGATTTTTTTTTATATTGTGAATCATTTAGTAATGAATTTAACCTTTTGTATCTTGTTTTTTCTCTTTACTCTTTTATTGTATGTTTTATATTACAGAAGGAGGAAAACCAAAAACCGTCCCAATCACACGTGTTGCATCCTTGAATTTAAGGGAAGTGGGCCTGAAAAGTCCTTAAAAATCACTGAATTTGATTTAAGAGTGTGTGGGATCCCTGAAAATGACTCACTGGCGCCATCTATGTTTCAAACGTTATTACTCAGCAACATAAACCCCGCCTGCTTACCGGGTCTCCCGCTGCAGTTGCTGCAGTTTGATGAAATGTCCTTGTTTGTATCCTCGAGCTGACTGAGCTCCACCATGACTATATAACCAGGTGAGCTGACCACCTCCAGTTGTTGACGTAGGTCTGACAAGTCAAACAACCCACATGACCCAACTTGTCTCCCTAGTCTCAGCTATAACACCGTTAATCCTCGTGCTTGGACAGATAAGACAACGAGGGACACCATGGAGCACGTTACGCAGTTTCTTCAGGGAGTGGAGCTGGACACCAAGACAGCAGGGCTGCTGACAGTCGCTGCCTGCAGTGTGGGAGCTCTGTTGCTGCTGGTGCAGAAGGTCCACACACACCGGGACGCGGAGGACAAGATCCGCAGAGCCAGGCAGCACCGGGCGGACACCCTGCGGCGGGCGGAACAAGCTGTTCTCCAGTACAAGAAGACGGTGAGAGCGCCAGAGCCTGTCGGGAGGGGAAGTTAAGACACGGTTGTCTAGAGGCTTGTTGTTTCCTATTATTATTATTATTATTATTATCATCGTCATTCTGTATCAAATGTGCTGCCTCTAAGTTTGCAATGTAAGGTCACATTAAAGTGTCCTATGAGACAGGGGCATGTCTAGAATTAAAAGACACAGAGGGCCTTAGCCCGGGTGTCTGTAGGGGGGTCCTTAGAGGCTGTTTTCACGTACACGGTGATTTTGATAAACGGAGACATCTTCCTTCGTTTGTGCCCTTCGTTTACACGCAAACAGAGATTTCTCCTCTGAAAACGAGTCTTTCTAAAAACTCCGGCCAGAGTGGAGATTTTCACGGAGACGGTGAAATGTCCGTTTATGAAAATAGCCGGCCATGTGTAAACGGCCTCTTGGTCTGGACACGTACGACAAACTGTGCATTGTCCACTGCCTTTAAGAGGCAAAAACAAATGAAATAAAATAAATCCAGAGGACACGCCCATGTTTTTTAACCACTACTTGCTTTATTTGTCAAAACACCTGGGAATTTATTGGATGCTTATGATTATGATGCATTTTTATGCACTCTGACATCTTATTTACCCTTAAATGTGTCCCTTCCCCTCTAGATTAATGAAAAATTGTGATTTAAAAAATATTAGTAATTGTCAGTAATAAGCATTGAGTAGAAATAGAATACTTTGCAATTGCTGTCACTAAAATTTAGCAGATTTTGAAGTGATTGTACTTGAGTATTATCCATTTTATGCTGCTTTATATTTGCACTCCACTACATCTCAGAGGGAAATACTATACTTTTACTTCACTACATTACTTTTCCACTTTAGTTACCTTAATACAAAATATAATCAACTGATAATTATGTGCATATAAACACACAAAATGAGCTGCTTGAATGACATAGAGGACCCAAAACTTGTGTTTTGATCAACACATATCATATTTTGGGGGCCTTTAGTGCACGAAGGGAAAGACAGATTAATTGAGTTTGAACGCGGGCTCTTCTATGTGGACTCTGCATATACTCCTTATGTCAACATGGGTTATCTCCAGGTACACTGGCTTCTTTCTACAGTCTAAAGACATGCAGGTTAGGTTTATTTGTAACTCCAAATCGGCCATTAATTCCACCAACCTGTCCAGGGTGTTCCCTGCTTCTTGCCCAGTCCCCCCGCGACCCCAACAGGATATACAGTTACGGAAAATGAATGAATATTAAGTTTATTAAAATGTGTTGTCTACATATTTCGACCTGGGGCTATCAATTAAACATTCAAGGCTGAAGCCTCAGAGGCCCAGACCTAACAACACCACTGCTGTAATGGATCTTTAATTCAATGTAAGCTATAAATTGTAAGATATTTGTACTAGGGCTGCAATGATTAGTCGACTAATCGATGACTAATCGACTATTAAAATAATCGGTGACTATTTTAGTAGTCGATTAATTGGTTTGAGTCATTTTTCATAGAAAAGTACTATAAAAGTCCCCAAAATACTCTTATTGCAGCTTCTTACGTTCAAATATTGGCAGCTTTACACACTCTCCCATGATGTCAAACTAAAACCCTTTGGCGTGAGTACGAAACAAGACATTAGATGACATAATTTTGGGGTTTGGGAGAGACAGGCCGACATTTTTCAACATTTTAACACAGTTTTCGATAAAATGATTAGTCGACTAATCGAAGAAATAATCGACAGATTAGTCGACAATGAAAATAATCGTTAGCTGCAGCCCCAATTTGTACACACATTTAAGGGATTGGTTTATATTTCATTTGTCCAAGGCTAGAATAATTAGTTGCTGATGGTCGAATTTCATTTAGCTGCTTCAGTGTCCTGGTATTGTCCTGGTAGCTTCACATCAGTTATTTTCCCTAAATGCCACGTCAAAAAGTATGCAGTGAAAAAGGGCTATAGATTAGTCAATTGACAGAAAATTAATTGGCAACTATTTCAGTTGTTGTTTTTTTTTTTTTAAAACAAATAAGCCCCAAATTTAGTGGTTCCAGCTGCTGACATTTTCCTCTGCTGTTTGTCAAATCTGATCTTTAGACTGATCTTTGGACTGTTTATTAACAATTTGAAGATGTCACCAGCCATATATAATAAATTCCACCAGTATTTTCTGACATTCTATAAACAGAATTGATTAATTAAAAATAATCTGCAGGTTAGTTGATAGTCAAAATAATAGTTTGCTCTATATTTGTCATCTGTGAAGAACTTTCAGCAAATTTAAAAAAAGGATAATTATTGCCTAGTGCATAAACTCATTTTTTTTATATGTGTGTGTTCGTGTGTGTGTGTCCTCTAGCATCCAATGACCAACTCTGCCTTTATCTTGTCGCTGTCCCTGTCTGAGTTGACAAACAAGCTGCAGGATGGTTCACTGAGCCCTGAGGAAGTGTTGTACTGCTACATGGAAAAGGTTCAAAACCAACAGAAGACATTGGTTTTTTCATTATCACAAATTTCTCAATGTCTCATTAACTCCACATGCAAATGTATACAGTTTACATAGTTTACATACTGACACATTTCTTATTATGTAGGTTAATTATTTATCATTACAAGAGCACTTTTGCATGCACCCTTGTACAGTTGTGCCATTTGTTAAAGGCTTTTGGCTCAAAGTAGACCATATGCATATTGATTTACTTGCTTGTACATTTTTTATTCTGCTTTCATGTTTTACATAACCAGACTTTCAGAGGGAAGGTGTGAATATGAACCTGTCTGATTTTTCTTTTCTCACAGACTCTGGCTGTGAACAAAGATCTGAACTGCTGCACAGGGATCTTGTTGGAGAGTTTTGACCTGGTGAAAACAGTTGCCACCAAAAAGGAAGGTCTCTTGTATGGAGTTCCAGTTAGCATCAAAGAAAACTTTTCATATAAGGTATTTCATAGTTGTTAATTATCTGCATCTTTAGATAGATTTTTAGTGTCCCTAAAGGGCAGGTTTGTTTCATATGAACATCACTACATTTGTGCAGAGTACACAGTGTTTTAGTTACCAGAGGAATTAAAAAGCAAAATGTCAGAGGGGACACAACTTTTTCCATCGAAGTATCCTATATCTGCTACCACACAGGATAGGAGTGAAACATAGGTTGAGGGGGCGTCCATTGTCATGTGTTACGATGATTGGCATGCAAGTGATGACTCTATCACTTGTTGGGGATTGGGACTACATTCACCTTTTGGTTAGCAGTTCAGTAAGGGACAGCTTGTTGCTGTTCGAGACAGTTAATATGCTGAGGATGTCACTCGTAAAACTGTTATGGCGGTCTCGTTTTGTGTTTTTATCTAACACTGCTGTCTTTCCCTGTGTTTCTTTTACCACACAAGAATACAGACAGTTCTTGCGGTGTGATCATTTACCTGGACAAGCCTGCTCAGAAGGACGGCGTGCTTGTTGAAGTTCTGAAGAGACAAGGAGCCATCCCCTTCGTGAAGACCAACGTGCCCCAAACGATGCTAAAGTTAATAAGTTCTCAATCAAGTTAGCACAGTGATAAGCTGTGAAGTAACAAGGGCTGTACTGAAGGTCATTTGAGACATTCGAAGAAATGTCCATTTGGACTGCACAAAAAAAAACACTAAACCCTGCAAACATGTGGCTTTTTAATGTAACAGGAAAGGTTTTAATCGGCAGTAACTGTAACGTTAGCCCTTTTTACAGAGATGGCTCTATAGGGCCACTACCAAGTCCGTTCTTTGTGCCTTCTTTGCATTTTTACGCAGAACCAAATGACAGCTATAGCGTGGGATTACACTCTGCAGATTCTTTGCAGAATCAAAAGAGGTGTGACATGTAACACATCAGCATTGGCCTCTATTGTGACCTGTTAACATACGCGTCGGCAGCACTTTGTAAACAACAACAAGGCATTACCTTGTCAACAACAATCATTTACCTTTTCTGTTTTATGGCGGCTGATCTAGTCCTCTGCTCGAAGGGTAAAGAGCTATCAGACCTCATTGTTTTCCCAATTTGTCGACATGTACAGCGGCTGTTCTTCTTTGAGTTAGCCGCCAATTGCTAACAGCTAGTTTGTTTGTTTTTTTATCTCCTGCTGTGTGTTGCACGCATGACACATTGTCAAATTGTCGTCACACCCATGCCACCCATGACCTCGTCCGGCAGACTCCCCTGTTTATACAGACTCTCCTGTTTCGGTGCTGTTACTCCCATGGCGGATTAAAGGCGTGACCACTTCATCCCCCATTCCACAATGGTAATCTCTCCATGATGTCGAATATGACACCAAAAAAAGAAAAAACCCACACACAGAAAGATATACTAGTCTGCTGCAGAGCCGTGTACACAGCGCTGATCTACTGGCAATGGGAAAGGATTCTATAGCCTATCTTTAGCAAATTTACCTGAGTTAAAAAAGCTAGTGTACACGTGCTTATTTTGGTTGTAAAGGCATATATGACACATTTTCACACAAATGCCTAGTAGGAGAAAACTATGAAGTGATGACATTTTTTTTTATTTCTCCAGTTATGAGTGCAGTAACCCCATCTATGGGCAGACCGTGAACCCCCACAACCTCAAGAAGACCTGCGGAGGTTCGTCCGGTGGGGAGGGGGCTCTCATTGGAGGAGGGGGCTCCATACTTGGTTTAGGCAGTGACATAGCAGGTAGCATCCGTATTCCAGCTGCATTCTGCGGGATCTGTGCCTTTAAGCCAACAGCAGGACGGCTAAGGTGAGCGTCTCTGCTCCAGTCAGTTTTGAATCATCACTATAGAGTCATAACACTTTGCGCTACACTTTAATCTTTGATGTTTTTCTTTGTGTCTTGATTAGTGTAAATGGTGTGACCCCCTTCTATCGAGGGCAAAAAGCATGTAAGTCACAGCTGCATCATCATTGCCTTCATACTACACGTGTTGTTTGAAAAAAAGTTGTTACTTGTTCTTTTGTTTCTTATTAAATTAGTGCAATCAAGTCCTGGACCCATGGCGAGGGATGTGGAAAGTCTGGCCCTGTGTATGCAGGCTTTTCTCTGTGACCACATGTTTTCTTTGGACGCCACTGTTCCACCCATACCTTTTAATATGCAGGTGTGTCCACAACAACAACAACAACAAAACAAAGTGAAATGTTTCACAGGGGATTATGTACTGTTTCTTGAATGGGACCAGTAACTTGCTGGAGTCTCTTCTAGCAACAAAATACTCCAGCACATAGCCCCCTGTAAAATGGTTGAATTGTTGTTTTATCACTTGGTAGTTGCACAGGTTAAACAAATATCCAACATGTTAACATTTGTGCGCACTTAATCCTCTTATCTAAGTCTCTCCAAGAAAGCAAATAAGTGTATGTCCCATCACATTTCAACATCACAATGCGTCTGTGCACCCCAGCAAAACCTTTGGGATAACCAAAGCCTCAGCACCTAACCTCAGTAAACAACCTAATGATCTTGTGGCTAAATGAGAACACATCCCTGCAGCCGGGTTCCAAATTCCTGTGGGAAGCCTTCCCAGAAGGGTGGAGGCTGCTCTCATGCTAAGCTTGGTCAAACACAGATCCCTGTACACACATAAAGGACGCACAGTGATCACATTGAGATGATGCAATCCAGTGGACTGCTGTAGAAACTGGAATGACTCCTCGTACCAGTTTTGTCAGAAACAAAAAGATCTTGTCAGGTATTCCTAACTGCAGTTTTCTCTCTCTAGCTAACAGATGTTAATCCAATTGTGGTTATTGTCTTGTGATGCAAAGAATGAGGGAAGGGACATGATGTGCAAAATGTTCACTTAGGGGTCAGGCACATCATCTTCCATATATGTGCTGATTTTTATGCCTCAGCGCCGGCGATAGGTGTGGCTCCTAATCTTGTAAATGCGATATCTCAAGAAGGCATAGAGGGATTTTCTTCAAATTAGGCACAAACATCCACTTGGTCTCAACGATGAACTGATAAGAATTTGGTGGTCAAAGTTCAGTGTGACCCCTCATCCATCTTTTTCTCATGAATCAGAATCAGAAATATTTTATTGATCCCCGAGGAGAAATTGTGGTTGTGGCAAAGAACAGAGACTTGAAAGAAGTAAGAATAAGAGTATGAAATAGAAGTATGCAAATATAAAGCAATAAAATAAAATAGAAATGAAAATGTACATAAAGGTAAAACATAGAATGTGCATTATGCTACAGTGTTTAAAACTAGTGCTTAAGATATAAAAATATTAAAAACAAAATATTTATTGTCACTGTGCTGAGGCTGGAAGTGTGAAATTTAACTACAATATATACACTAACATGTTAACATGACACTAATTGTATAAATCTTCTGTGCTGCCGGGTTAAAGATGTGTGTGAAGCATCAGCATTTTAGAATATGTAGTGTCTTTACAGCAACATCCATATTTAAAGCATTGTTATATGTCATGCCTACATATGAGTCCAAACAGACATGGATGTAAACTATAACTGCAATTTGACTGGTTTGCGGTGGCCGCTGGGTGGTAATTCTAGTTCTGTGACTCAAAAAAGTCCTGGATCTGGCCCTCTGACAGAAAGCAAAGCACCTAATTTGGAGAGATTCAAGGAGAATTTAACAGGGTTATGAGTAGAAAAGCCACAGGCACGTTGACGCCCACAAATGAAACCTGCAGTTAATTGCCTGTAGGGTTCACCTATTCTTTCACTGTGCCTTAATTAAAGTAAATTAAAGCCTTATAAAAGCTTCAATCTCCTAACCACGCATATTTATTAGTTTATGTACCAAAAAACATTTATGTGTGTTTCCACTCAAATGTCTTAACTGACAGAATGAAAATATCTTCTCCTCAGATGTACCAGAGTGCCGAACCTCTCAGGATTGGTTACTTGGAAAATGACGGCTACTCAGAAGGGTCTCCAAGCATGGTCAGAGGAGTCAGAGAGGTCAAAGCTCTGTTAGAGAAAGCAGGGCACACTGTAAGACCACAGTACTCACACACACAAAATCAAACAATGTGATCTACCCCCACATGAAATCTGTGATTTGAGCTATGTGTTTTAATGCTGTCACCTTTTTGGTCATTTGTGCCTGTAGTTTGTGCCCTACACTCCTCTGGAGATACCTTACGCTGTAAATGAACTGATGACAAGGGGTGCCTTTGCAGACGGAATTACCACCTTTTTTGAAAAAATGTGAGTTCAAGTTACCTTCAAAATGTCAGCAAATCAGTCAGTGTTGTCCTTGTTAATAACCTGATTCATTTATGTAATTGAAGTGTCAGAGTGTCAGCATATTTACGGCCCGAGAACCAAGTGATGTGAAGGCCCTATTGTAATTCAAGGAATTAGGCTTTTTTTTTTTTTTTAATTAATCAAGCTTCAAAGGTTCCTGGGGTGCTTGAGAACTCCTGAAATTTGGCACTCGCATCAGAAAGGATGAAAATTGTTATTGAATATGAGCCATAGCCTATATAAAATAATGGACGTAGCTATGATGATGTCACCAATTGGTGCGACTCCTGTTTTGAAGCCCCGAGTTCAGCATTTCGGCCATAACTCACTTGGTTTTTTGGAGCAAGAAGGGCTGAGCTGTGTAGGAGCATGGTGTGGATTTGACTTGCAGATTGTAGTGACCGCTCACAGACAGCGTGTCACTCAAGCAGCCCCGCCCTTACATATGTGTAACTTTAAAGGCCTTTGCACACTGAGTCCTTTTTTGTCATTTGAAATTGTTGCACGTATTAAAAGAAATATGACCTCATGTTATGTCAGTCCTGTTTGGGCATTAAAACTTTCGGATCAGGCGCATTTTTCTGCATTTTCCACATCCGTCAGAAGCCTTAGGAAACATTTGACCAAGAATCAGTGAAAAAAATTGGCAGCGGGACACAAAGGCAACAAGAAAGAATCATTTCATAACTCAATATAGCTCACTTTTAACGGGTTAGGCAGTAATATTCAGGTGGATGATGACGAAGAGGAGAAGGATGTGGACACAGAGAGGGAGTGGTGACAGCCAGACAAGTAACTCCAGTGGAGAGAGGCAAAGGAGGAGATGTGTCTTTTCATTTTGTCACGTATTGCTAATTTTCTCAAGGAAGCGGAATCAGTGTGCAGGGTTTCTGACAACATTATGTAAAGGATCCCTACAGAGGTTGAGCTCTTTGTAAAGAGAAAGATCCATTTGTTAAACCAGAAACAGCCTGGAATAGCTCTCGCCAAACCCACCAGATAACCACCAAATAATTAATCATTTTCGTATCGTAATCCTCGGTGATCCTCTGACTTTTCCTGTAGCACCACCATGAAGTTTACATAGGTGCTTTTAAAAGAGATGTTTTAACCATATTACATTCCTTTTATTTGAACAGATCGCTCTGTAGGATGATCCCCTATTGTTTCTGTTTTAGGAAGGGGGACCCAGTGGATCCCATCCTCAAAGTACAGTATCAAGTTTACAAACTGCCTATATGGTTGAAGAAGATCCTCTCATTTCTCGTCAAGCCCGTGGTAAGTTCTCTCCTCCTATGACAAACATTCAAAAATACAAACTATAGACAATCTACTTCTTCCTCAGGAACACTGAGTATGATGCTGATTTGGTTATTTCTTTGGTAGCCATGTGATAAAAAAGTTACTGTGTGATTTGAGTCTTAAAGTGTGTTTTATGTCTCGTTTGTCTCTCGCAGAGTCCTCGTATCTCTGCCAGCCTCAATGCTTTGACTGGAGTTAGGTGAGAAAGTAACGTCGACATTGAAGGTTTCCCGCTTGAGGTTTTGTTACTCACACATTTCATGTAATGCACAAAATGTCGAAACACACTGATGCTTTCTCGGTCTTATTTTCAGGTCTGTCGCAGAGGTGTGGAAGCATCATGCTGCTGTTGAGGTATTGTTAAGGCCCAGACACACCAAACCCAACTAGTGGCGACAAAGGTCGACTGTTACATTGCCTCACGTCACCTGTCTCTGCCAAAAATTTGCACGGCCAACTAGTGTGTATGCTCTGTGCCTGCTCAAGAGGAAATTACTTTCCATAACAGCAGGCAGCGGGAGTCTGTATTTATCATTCGGGAAACCGGAAAACCATCAAGATGGATTCAGGACACTAGTTCGTCAGATTGACCAATACAACAATAACAATACAACCTGGTGTCGAAAGAAGAAATTATATTTACCATGCGCTAGGGAACAATAACACAAACAATTACAAACGGCTTCTGCCTATGAGCTCAATGGCTCAAATTTGTTTCAGTCTTGCGCCCTCTTGACCTCAGTTGTTTGTTTGCTTCCGTCACTTCCGTTTCTCTTCTCATGCACGGACCTGAACTGCCAGTCAGAGGGATTTTATTCACCAACAGGCTCATCCGGCTTTGACATGAATTCAACACTGAATTGGCCAAAAAACAGGTGACAAGGGCCGGCTTGCGCCAACGGTACAGGAGACACAGCAAACACTAGGGCAACACAAACAGCCCGATGTTGACCAGCAGCCAACCATCGGCTTGGTGTGTCAGAGCCCGTAGTTGTCAACCAATAATATAAACACACATACATTATTTATATTTTTATA